TATATATATATATATATATATATATATATTACTGGACTCTTTTTTTGTTTTGGTTTGAGGGTTTGAGTTGGCTTTTTGTTTCATTTTTCCGTTGTACCGCTTCTGCCCCCCATGCGCGGGGGCGATCGAGGTAATGGCTATTATACATGGGGCGACCATGCCGGTTGCCCGCCGCACATGAACTCTGTGCAAACTGGCGCTCGGCACAAACGTCACCGTGTTTTTGTTTGTATTTTTGTTTCCGTTTTTTTTTCTTTTTTTGTCTGTGTGTGTGTGTGTGTGTGTGTGTGTGTGAGATTCGTGATGTCGCGGTGTGGGTTGTGGTGGTGCTACTCGGTGCCGTGGATGCTGCTAGTAGCAATCATGCGTGGGATATCGCCCTCGGAGGAGGAGGCACTTGTCACCATCATTTGCAGCACCTCCTCCGGCATGAGCACCGAATCCTTTGACATGTCCAGAACGGAGGAAACGTAGTAGCTGGGCCGCCCCACCGCCCGGGCCCCGCTGGCATCCATGGACTCCTTGCCTGACACCCACATCGCATCAAAGAGTCGGTGGGTCTTGCTGCCATCCGTCAGTGCCAACAACTCACCGCCCATTTCCTGCCGGCTTGTATCGACCAAAAGGGAAGGTCGCCCCGTAGAGCTGTCATGCACGCATTGCTCCACTCTCCCACGTTGTTGCCGCTGGCTATCCTGAGGTTCAGCCAAGAGAATGTACTTTACTTGCTCATAGGTAGGCCCCACCGTTGGCATGGACCCCTTGGACGCACGACGGGGTTGAAGATTCTCATTGCCAGCTTCGTCGGGAGCCCTTCCCGCTGGCCTTGAGACGACGCCGCCTCGCACTGGAGCCTTCCCCAGCGGAGGAAGAACTTTTTGAGGTACCTGTGGATCCGCAACTGAATCTCTGAAACCTGAGCTTGCCTTGCTGGGTGGAGCAGCCTTTCCCGAGGCCACTCGCCGATCCTTTGGGACGTTTCCGTTACGTGCCCTCCTCGGCTGGGAGCTAGATGGTGTCTGCTGGTAGTTCTTCGACGCCGCCTGCTGATACTCAGACGGTGCCTCTTCATGGATGGGTGGAGTCGACTTGTAGCTGGGTGAAGGCTGCTGATACGCGGATCGGTCTTCCTGATAGTCGGCTGTGGCCTGCTGGTGAGCAAACGGAGGTTGTCGTTCGCGTGGCGGTGTCCGCTTGAAATTTGGGTCTGATTGGGTTTGGGAGGTGAACGCAGGCTTCTGGGTGGGGCTCCCCTTCCGCTGCTTTGCAGGGGACCTTTTCACAGATGCAGCGGCGCGAGGGTTGGAGGTCATCCCCGGGAATGTGTCGGTTCCCACGACGTGGCCGTCCTTTGGCGTCTCCGGCTCCATCGCGTTGTAGTTGGGCGGCAGGGAGTACAGGAGCGGGTGTGGGTTGCCGTAGAGCTGGCCAGCCCGCAGAAGGGTTCCGCTTAGCATCATCCCGCGTAACACACTTGGCATTTTTTTTCTCCTTTTGCACCGAAACGCTACATCCACGGCGTCTGGGTACGGTCTGGGATCCAGGCGTTCCGTCAACTTTGCCCCGTGCGTGGCCTCGCCACAGAAGGTAATGGTGAGGTCACGGTGAAACTTTTCCTTGGCCCGGCGCCTTGATTTGCCAACACACTGCCGCAGATATCGCTCCATATCGTCCTCTTCGTCGCGAGGGTCAACCGGTCGCGGTGGAACAGTAAGCATCGTGTGGTGTTGTTTGTAGACCCCGTAAGAGCGTAGGACGTCCCGCACCGTGCGGTACGTCTCTGTAACGCTTTTGGTCATCGGGTGGTCGCTGCCCAGCAGCTCCTGCGTTGCTCGCATCGCATTTTGAAACAGCACCGCTGCGTTGCTATGCTCGGAGGGGTCCTTCGTGTACCTCGCCGTGTTGATTTGCGCAACTGCCAGGTTGTGCCAGGCGGCACCCCAAAGCGCCTTGTTGTCCGACTTGGCGACTGCAATCCCGGTGCCTTGCAGCGAGCGGTTCCCAGTGTCAGGCACCGGCAGCGTTGGCGCATGGCCGTTTTTCTCCTGCAGTTTTAACGTGCGCAGCATGTCAATGGTCTCCATCGCGGCGGCGGTCGCCTTATCATACATTCCCAGAGCGTTGTACGCAGCACAAGTATTCAGCGCAACGGATGGTGAGGCCGAACCCCACTTCTCCTCCAACTGCCGCGCGGCCTCAAAGTGGCTAAGTGCCTGGCGGTGCTGCCCACGGTGACACTCCACAACGCCGAGGTTATTGAGTGTGGTGGAGCGCAGTGTGTCCATGATCTGCGTGTCGCTGCCCGGCGACGAGAGGTTGTGCAGCTTCATGTATGCATCGCTAAGAATCGTCGAGGCCTCCTCCAGCGCCTCTGCGTTACACCGCTGCATTGCAAGCGTGTTCATCGCCAGCACCTCGTGCAGGAGCTCGTCCTCGCTCTGATGCATCGCCTGCTCCTCACTTATCGTCTCTGAGGTCGCGACATCGCGACGCACATCATCCTCAGCGGCGTTGCCGCCCATGCGGTACTCAGCCATCGACGCTGCGTCCTGCATGCTTCTTTGGTGTGCCCTCCCCCTGCTTTCAGTCTGCCCCCACCCCCCTGTCTGTTGTGAGCCTTTGCAGGACGCTTTACTGCAGTCTCGCTATGCGAACCGTGCGCCTGCGCGTTTACAAGTGCCGCTGCTGCTGACACCACTACAAACACTACGGCTGCTACCACTCCTACCAGCGCCACCGCCACGGCCAATAATGCCCCGCTGCTGCTTCTGCTTCTTCTTCACGGAAAGTGAGTGGAAGAGAAAGAGACAGTCAGCAAAAGGAGGCGGGCAGGCAGCTACCCAGCGATGCACACAGGCAACAAGGAAAAAGTGGAGAGTGGCGGGGCGTTAGGGAGAAACAAACAACGGGCCGGAAATGCGGCACACCGCTGCGCACCTCTACGCATCCCCCCGCGTACCCATCGTTGCGTGTCTCCACAGTGATACACGCTCTCACCACAATAAAGAGTTGTAGGTCAACAGGAGATAATAAAACAGCACCCTTCCCTTTCTATCGTTCTCTCTCTTCCTCACACACTCACACATACAAACAGGAAACAAAGAAAAAAAAAGTAAACAAGAACAAAAAATGAACGGTTAAAGCAACAGACGCTGAAGGGCAAAACTCATAAAAGGATGGTTTAACACCCCCAGTCACTTCCGCCACACCGCAATGTACTCCTATTCGCCTCTAACAAATAAGCCAATCTAACTGAGCCGCACACATATCCACCGCAGACCCCTCGCATCCACCACAACAACACACACCCGTACATACCCCAGCAACAGCAACAATAACAATACGTGTGTATATGTATTTAATGCGCATGTATTGAGAGAATTTACATCGCTGAATAACGTGGACTCACATAACGTTGTCGCCTGCGCCGTGGCGACACGGAAGCAGATTGGTCGTGCCACTCTGATTGGTTGCTGCCCTCATTATTCATGCTACTGTTAGAATGCACTCTGTCTCGCAAAGCGTCAACCTTCTGCTGCATCATTGTCAGGCGCGACATCTTTGAACGGCGTTCCCGGTCGACGCGAAGAGTTTGTGTTTCCCGGCGGGCCACACACGAGGCAAGCTCCAGCTCCGCCTCCAGTTTTTCCTTCTTCCGGATGATGGTGCTCATCTCGAGGGCGTGTGCAAAGTACGCCTGAGCCCAGACAAGATCCTCGGCGTACTTGCCGAGCACACCCACCACCTCCTGGCACTTGCTGGTGTAGAGCTTCTCCTCCTTTTCCAGCTGTGTGAGCTCCTGGCGATGCATATTCGTCTCGTTCTCCAGCGTGGAAATCTCAATGCGCATCTCACTGATTTTGTGGTCGCTGTAGAAGTCTCCTTGCGCCAGCTGCTGGTCGAGCGCCGCAATTGTCTCGTCTAGCCGTTTCACCGTCTCTAACTGCGACGTCGTCACAGCGTGGGTGGCCCGTGTTTGCTCCAGTTGTGCCGCACACTCCTGCTGCTCCTCCTTTATGCGTGTCCGCAGGTCCGCCCTCTGCGCCTCCACCTCGCGCGCAACCTCTTGACGGACGGCCTCCGTCTCCTCGAGTAGCTTGTCGAAGGTACCGTCAACGTCGCTGACGTGCTCCGCCAGCCACTTGGCGGCGGCACGGTAAAAATCATAAACGCCACGGGAGTGCTGTTCCGAGAGAATGCGTTCCCGCTGCATACGAAGCTCCTCAAGCTTTTCCGCTGTCTCCAAAAACCACTTAGGGGTGTTGATGTGCACAAGCATCAGGACTTGGTGGATGCGGCTAAGTGACTCCGCAAACCGCAGGGCGTCGCATGCGGCCACATGCAAATTCTGTCTACCACTGATGGTTGTGATAGACATGAGAGTCACGTAACCCACAAGAGCGGATTCAAGCAACGTCGTCAACTTTGTTTGCTTAAAACCAGGATCTCCGGCGTTTGAGAGACCGGCCACACGGCGCACCGTCTCCACAAGATGACAAATTTCACTGCAGTGGGGTGGGCGAAACGCGGCCACATCCACAAACGTTAGCGTGGCCATGGAACGCCGCCCAAAGGTATCTACCGGCGTGTAGACCTGAAACTGCACGATGCAGGAGGTATCCATGTGCTTCTTCGTCGGTATCTGAACAGCGCTGGGAGCAGAAGCCAGAAGGCGCATTTGTGGCAACGCTGTGGCCCCCAACGGCGGTGGAAATTCCACCACTGGCACCGGATCGCCACTAACCGTCTCCAGCAACTGAGATCCACGTGCAATAAAGGCTGAATGCGTTACGGTCGAGCGAGGCCCTCCAACTTCGTCCCCGTCTGCCGTACCCGCCACACGCCGCAGCAACTCCTCTGCGGTGAGCTCTATGATTCCCTTCTCGCTATGGTGCGGGCTGCCGTACAGGGTTTGACTGCGGCCACTTTCACAGGGGGCGCTCACTAAGAAGAGGTAGCTCTGTCCTGCCAAACAGTTTGACACACACGGCGCAATAACCTCCTGGTAGAAAATATCCGTTGGAGTGGCCCTGTGCACACGAGTGACATTAAACGGCTCGGACCACGTATCTGTTTGTGCGTTCTTGAGGCGCAAGGAGGTGTAGCTAGAGGATGTTGATGTGTACTCAAGGTGAGACATGAGACGAACATGGCTTTCAACGCTTTTCAAAATGTTCTTTACGACAGGCCGCCGCGGAAACGCAGGGGTCGGGCTCGGTGTCCTGCTGAGCTGGTCCATGTTTTGCATCTGCACTCTCCTCCGCTTACTTTGCAACGGTATGCGTGCGGGCTCAACGAAAGGACAGAATGAGCCCGGGCAATAGGCACGGTGAGAAGCAAAGAAGGAAATAATTAAAAAAAAGAGGATGAGGGCGACACACACGCGACAGCTCGCCAAGAGGAGGCAATGAAACAAAAAAAGAAACGAGAGAATAGGAACGGGGTACCTAATAAAACGCGCAGCTTTGCCAGACCACCACCACCGCCACCATCTTCGCGTGACAGGCAGCATCTAAGAAAACGCGTTGACAAATCCCCCAAAAAGACGCGTGCGACTACTTTGTCGTCTCTGTAGCGGCCTTCACACAACTACGGTACAGGGTCTCCCTGAGGAGAGGACGAAAAGTTGGCAGCGAGAAAGAAAAAGAAAGTACACATTCTCCTAACCATGCGTCGGCCCCCACGTCGCCAATAGGTTTTACCTCTGCCACCACCAACCGGGGTGTCTGGTACACGAAGCACACATACACTAAATAATTTTAAAAAACATACCTCTTCAAAAACAGAGGTTGCTGCTCCCATGCTACCGTTTAAGGCATCCACCCCAGCCTTACCGACGCAGGACGCTGTTGCTTGGAGACATGGCTCGCCCCCGTCGCCTTCATCGACAAGGATGAGCTCAAGCTACGTCGCTGTCTCCGCCGCACGAATAATTCGTCCAGCAAATGATCGGCGCCCGTGTCGCTACTTCCTCTCGACCCAACTCTTATGTTCATTCCTGCGCTGCGCAATTTCCGTCTTTCCCCGCCTGCTTTCCTTGAATGACCTCCACTGTGCAACCACTCCTTTTTATTTGACCGTCTGCCAATGGGTGTGTGTCGCGACGCCACAGCTTGACTTGAAAAGGGAAGCTCACGCAGCGGTGTGGCGTAACTGCGACGGGAAAGGCGACCACAAGAACTGTCAGGCGTCCGCCGGTTTCCAACGCTGCTGCTGGGTGTATGGAGCGTGGCCGCGCTGGCCGCCTGACGACCAGAAGTGGTGGCGCCCACAGTCAGTGTAGGGCGGTTCAACCCTGTTGTCCTGCTGATGGAAGTTTGTCGGCCCCGTATTACTTGCGGCACGAGCAACTTATCGGCTGCGGTCGGCGTTAATTGGGCACCACTGCCACCACCTTCGGGGACCCCCAGCTGCATCAGACGGTACTCGATATATGCGCTGTGTTCACGCAGTTGCCGTTTATACCACTCCTCCATGAGCAGCAGCCGCTCTGCCATTTCAATGGCCTTCAAACGCAGCCCCTGCACGTCCTGAAGCTGCAGGATGTTCCCACCCAAAACATAACTAAGTTCCTCCGCGCGTCGAGGCAAGTCCAGGGCGGAGCCACCGTCCTCCAATTTGGTAACTGCGCCAGAACGCCACGAGTGAGGAGACGAGCCATCACGGGTAAGTCGAGGCACGCCCTTGACAGTGTGGCGGGCACGCAGAGGGGTTGAAGACCGCCCGTCCTGCGGCGTCCGCACAGCATCCCCTTGGCCTCTCCCAGGATAATTCTTATCCTTGGCTTTTCCACCTCCGTCAAGAAAAGTATTCATGTTAAGCTTCGGAATCATACGCGAGTGTCTTCTTTGATGCCAGCCTCCCACAGTGGTGATACAAATTACTGAACCGTTCAGCACAAAAAAAAGGAGAAAAAAAAACAAAAAAAATGGGCCAACCGCACACAAACAAAAGAAACAAACTCCCAACCACAAGAACCAACACACGAACATAATCGCAACGAGACAAAACACAATAACATAAATTAAGAGCTATAAAAACAAAAAGTAAAAAAAATCAATGAGCATCCTTTCACTTCTTTCGAGCGGCAGCAGCCTTGGCAGGAGCAGCAGCCTTGGCAGGAACAGGAGCAGCAGCCTTGGCAGGAGCAGCAACCTTGGCAGGAGCAGCAACCTTAGCAGGAGCAGCAGCCTTGGCAGGAACAGCAGCAGCAGCAGCGGCGGCGGCCTTCATGGGTTTCTTGCCAGCAGGTGCAGCGGTCCTCTTCGCGGCGGCGTTCTGCTTGGCGGCCGCGGCAGCAGCAGCGTCCTCGCGGCGCGCACGTTGACGGTCCTTCTCGCGCTTGCGCAGCTCCTGCTTGCGAGCCTTGTGACGGTGCTGCTCATCCTTCAGGCGCTTCGCCGCAAGTTGCTCGGCCAACTGCCGCTCCTTCTTCTTCTCGTTCTTCACCTTGTGGATGTGCTCCATGAGGTTGCGCTTGTTGCGGAACACGTTACCCTTCGCCTTCACGTACAGCTCGCGGTAAATGTGGCGGTCAATTTCTTCTCCTCGCGGTACTTGCGCAGCAGGCG